CAACACGTGAAAAGACGCTGGACACAGTAAGTCACCAAGGAAGTGCAAACCAAAGCCATAATGAGGTACCACTTTATACCCTCAGGGTAACAGAAGAATGAAGATGAGGATGACGACCAGTCCCTGAGGTGATGCTGAGGGTCTGTCAACAGACAAACAACACACATAAGCCAAATGCTGGTGTCAGGACACAGGGGATAAGGGGAAACATTATGTGCACCCAGATGGTGGGAATGTAAATTAGTCCAAATACCATGGCAATCAGGACTCAGGGTCTTAAAAAATAAATATAACTGCAGTATGATCCTGCTGCTCCATTTCTAGTTACAGACTCAAAGGAATCTAAGTCAGAACACAACAGAGACACCTCCACACCAATGTGTGGCAACAGGCATTTTCTTAGATTTTCCTTAATGGACCAGTGGATTTTTAAGATGTTGTGTACACGTGTGCACACACACACACACACTTTATTTAGCCATAAAGGAAATGAAATTATATCATGTGCAGAAAAATAGGTAAAAGTGGAATTCATCATATTAAGCATAATTATCCTGACTGAGAAAAACAAAAATTACATTTGCTTTTACATGCCAAGTGTAGATTGAACAGCAATAACATAAATAAAGACATGGAAGCAGAAAAAGACTGTTGGGGAAGAATGGAGCCAGAAGGAGGGGGAGTAGAGAGTAATGTGCTTGTGTGTGACTAAGGGGAAAACATTGATATATAGGTATGGAAATCACACAGTGGAAGTCTATGATATGTAATTAATACATGCTAGCAAAAATAAAACATTCAAAAGAGAACAGTTGGTGAGAATGTGAAGAAATTCATACAATGCTGATGAGAACATAAAGTGGTACAGATGTCTTGGAAAACAGTAGCAATTCTTAGAATGTTAGATCAAAGAATTAACACATCATCTAGTATTTCTGCTCCTGAAGAGGAATGAGAACATGCGCGCGCATCAACACTTGTACCTGGGCATCCACAGCATCGCTACTTACAACAGCCAGCATGGCAGCAGCCCAGACAGCCAGAGAGGCTGCTCAGAAATACAACAGAGTGAAACATACACAGGGTAGGACGCAGATGCCACATCCCAAGACACCGTGGCTGGGTGTCCGGAGCAGGCACATCCAGACAGAGGTTAGCATTACTGTGGATTAGGAAGTCGGGGCTCTCTAAGTTCGAGGGCAGTCTGGTTTACAGAGCAAATTCCAAGCTGGTCAGGGCACAGCACAGTGAGATCCTGTCTCACAAAGAAACAAAATGGGCTGGAGAGATACCTCAGGTGTTAAAAGCACTTGTTGCTCTTGCACAGAACTCAAGTTCAATTCCCAGCACCCATGTGGCGGCTCACATCTATCTGTAACTACACTTTCAGGAGTTCCAGTTCCCTCTTATGATCTCCCAGGTACACAAGTAGTGCCCCAGTCTCCTCTCTGTAAACCAGGAGGTTCACCAAAGAGACCCTTGAAACCTATACAATTCTGTTACTAATACAATGTCAAGGTCTGCCCACGCCTAGACTGGTGTAGTTTCCTGGAAATAATACAGCAGCATGCAGTAGGAAGAGACAGTTCATACTCTCTGATTAAGTAATTCAACTTTTAAATGTTTATCTTTAAAACAAGTTTATTTCAGAGAGAGAGGGACTATGTAGGCATGATGTGGATGTGGGCATGTGTGCTATGGTGCATGTGGAGGTCAGAGGTCAACTCTGCATAGTTGGCTCTCTCCTTCCTTTTACACGGGGTTCCAGCGATCTGCCTAGGATTTCTAGGCTGGTGTCACAAAGCCTGTACTTGCTGAGCCATTTTACTGGCTCTAAATGTTCATCTTAATAACAGACTTCAACCAAAGGGGAAAAAAATTTATAAAAAAAAGTTAACTCACTTGTCCAACAAAACCAGAGCCTGAGTAGCCCGAAGAAATATTAAATTACTAAATACTAATGTATGATTACTGAAAACACTTGGGGTACTGTGTGGAAACAATCAGTACATAAAGGACCCTAACTCTCTAAATGTACACAACTGTGTGTGTGTGTGTGTGTGTGTGTGTGTGTGTGTGTGTGGTGATAAATCGTGTACCCTAATAACCTTGCCAGCTATCAGAGAAGCAGAGCAGCCAGCCACTAGTTCTTACCTCTACGAAATCCTTAGCCTGAAGAGAGTGAGTTCCTCTTTCCTCACGTCTTCTATACTTTTCTCTGTCCTGCTATATTACTTCCTGGGATTAAATGTGTGTGTGCTTCCCAAGCAAAGGCATGAGATCTCAAGTGCTGGGATTAAGGGTGTGTGCCACCACTGCCTGACCTCTATGTCTAATCTAGTGGCTACTCTGTCCTCTGATCCTCAGGCAAGTTTATTAGGGTACACAGTATATCACCACATGTATGAAAGAAAAGGTCATTTCTACTAATGAAAGTGATGTGAGCTCTAACTATAAAGATGGCTCTTTTTGTTTTCAATTGTAAAGTCTCTTAAAAATGTTGATACACGGTATCAGTGACAAAAAAGATAAAATATTAGGAGTAGAAATACAATATATTGATAATACTGATCACTTTGGTAAGGTTCTAAATTGCTCTGGCTTCTTAGAAGGGGTTAAGAATTGTGTCCTAAGGGCTGGAGAGATGGCTCAGAGGTTAAGAGCCTAACTGTTCTTCCAGAGGTCCTGAGTTCAATTCCCAGCACCCACATGGTGGCTCACAACCATCTGTAATGAGATCTTTCACCCTCTTCTGTGTACATAATAAATAAATTAAAAAAAGAAGAAGAAGAAGGAGAAGAAGGAGAAGAAGAAGGAGAAGAAGGAGAAGAAGAAGGAGAAGAAGAAGAAGAAGAAGAAGAAGAAGAAGAAGAAGAAGAAGAAGAAGAAGAAGAAGAAGAAGAAGAAGAAGAAGAATTGTCCTAGCTGGATGGTGGTGGCACACACCTTTAATCCCAGCACTTGGGGCAGAAGTAGGTGGATCTCTGTGAGTTCAAAGCCAGCCTGGTCTGCAGAGTGAGTTCCAGGACAGCCAGGGCTACACAAAAAACACCCTGTCTAAAAAAAACCCAACCAAACAAAAAGAAAACCAACCAACCAAAAAATTGTGTCCTAGACTGGGTGTGTTGACACATGTCTTTAATCCCAGGACTCAAGGAGGCCAAGGCAGGCAGATCTCTCTGTGAGTTGAGGCCAGCCTGGTCTAGAAAGTCAATTCCAGGATAGCAAGGGCTATATAGAGACTCTGTCTCAAAGTAAATACATATGCAAATAAAAATTGTGTCCCATTTTACTTCATTGGAAAAACATCACACCCAAAAGTGACTCAGAGAAGGAAAGGGTTTATTTGGCTGACACACCCTGATCACAGTCCATTACTGAAGATGACTGGGCAGGAACTCTGAGGCAGGAGCTGAAGCAGAACCACAGAACACTGCTCACTGGCTTGCTCTCCATGGCTTTTCCAGCTGTTTTCTTATACAACCCAGGACCGCCTGGACCATCTGTCTGGGGTGGCACTGGCCTGGAAGGCTGGACCCTCCCACATTAATCATTAATCAGGAATATGTGCACCCCACTTGCCTACAGAACAGTCTGATAGAGGAGTCTTCTAACAGAGGCTCACTCTTTCCCTGAGGATTCTGGCCTGTGTTGACAAAACAATACCGCCACCAACACCAAACAAAAAAGCTAAGGACCCAGCAAAAGAACCTAGGGCTTTCTGGAGACATCTTTGTGATTAAGACTTTAGTCGGTGTGTGTCTTAGTAATCCATCTTTCTTCTATAATGGCTGTAATATAGGACTGCAGTCTGTGATTTTACACAGCACTTCTCACAATCCTGACATGGCGGTAGACAGTTCAAAATCCTCCTGCTGACATATTTACCGTTCATGCTGTTTCAAGGTCTTAACTTCAAAGTTCCCAAGCAGTCTTTACTTTCATGTTTAGATTTCGTGTGTATGTGTGGGTTGTGTCTGTTGGAGTGTATGCCATACGTGTGCTGGTGCCCTCAGAGGCCAAAGAGGGTGTTGGACCCCCTGCACTGGATGTAAACGGGTGCAAGAGAGCAAAGGCTCGTGTGGGTGTCGAGCAGGGAGCCCTCTGGCTGCTGAGCCTCCCCCGTCCCCAGGCTTCACTCTGACTGTGTCAGGCACACAGCGGTCTCAGTTACACGCCACTGTAGTCCTTCAGCTGCGGCTCCTGAGAAGGGGCAGCTGTCCGGCTTCTTTAGCTTTTCCTCCTAGTCATACAGCTGAGTGCTAGGATGGGTATGGAGTCCTCAGGGTCCAGTCTCAGACTCCCAAAGGCAACAGGGAGAAGACTTGGTAATGCTACCACACTCAACTCTGGTAACAGGGTGAATTATGTGAAATGGTTTCTGAAGGTAAAAATAAAAAAGTCTATTGTTAGCAATGTGTAGGGATTAACCTATGTCAAGGCTTTTGTAGTAAGGAAAAATTCATTTCTGTAGAGATGCTAGTCACGAAACAGCCCTTCAGGACAAGGAGAGAACTTCACCAGCTCTGAGCACAGCTGTATTTGGGTTTACTTGATCCTTCTCTGTCTATTAAAGGCCTTCAACTACACTTTGATTTGGAGAAAAAACCAAACAGAGCAGTTACTATTTGTCATTCATTATGTAGCATGTATTTTTTTTTATTTTGAGTTGTCTTTCTGTCTAAATTTTGGATCCCTGTGACACCAGAGTCCCTGTCAGCTCTCCTCAGACTTCCCAACAAGCTCTGCTCTTCAATGAACCACTATCTGCAGACCTAATTTTAAGCAATTAGTTTTTACATATATGCATTAATATGCTAAAGTCATAAGCGAAAACAAGACATGTTTAACATGTTAACATGACTGTTTAACAGCAGTCAACTGAAGAACGGATATGAGAATTACCCACTGGAACTCAAGTCCTCACAAAACCCATTTCTCTCCACAGAGCAATGTTTCCCCTAACTGCAATCATATATAACCCCATGAGAATGTCTTACCTGAAACTACCATAGACTATAAGAAGAATGGATATCAGAAATGTCGACACTTGACTGGAATCCACCAGGGAATAGGCCCTAGAGAGATAAGAGGACAAACGTTAACTGACATGCAGCAGGTGCTGAGGAGCTCACAGCCCGTCTTTAAGTGAGATGTAAGTTAGCATTAGCAAAATAACATCATTAAAAAGAGACACGCTCGCTTACCACGTGGGATACACTGACAGCTTCATAGTGCTGTTAGCTACCATCCCTAGGATGTTAAAAGACAATGGTGCAAAAACGTCACCTCCGTATGATTATGTATATAACCCATTTGTAACATCCACTACCAACTTAAACTACTCCTATGAAAAAACATCTCGATGATGCTTAAATTTTCATGAGTTTACAGAGAGTAACCAACAGTCCTTTGTTGGTTTGAATTACTGATGAGGTAGAGAACACATTTCTCTTTGATTCCTTGTCTCGTTTCCTAATGTCTACTGGTTATTGCCATCTGGGTGTGGTATGGAGGGTCTAAAACTAGTTACTATTTTTTATTTTATTCCTGATTGCCTAAAGAAACTGACATCGGCCGGGCGGTGGTGGCGCACACCTTTAATCCCAGCACTCGGGAGGCAGAGCCAGGCGGATCTCTGTGAATTCGAGGCCAGCCTGGGCTACCAAGTGAGCTCCGGGAAAGGCGCAAAGCTACGCAGAGAAACCCTGTCTCGAAAAAAAACAAAAAAAGAAAAAGAAACTGACATCTTCCTGATGACTGCTTCTCTTACAACCTGGATGTCTGGCAGCCCAGCAATTCCACACCCTCCACCACCTCCACCAGTCCCACTTCCCAGTCCTGAGCAAAACAAGTATCATCATCATCATCATCATCATCATCATCATCATCATCATCATCATCATCATTATCTCAGCAAAAAAAGTCTATGTAGCCCTGACTGTCCTGGAACTATGTAGACCAGGCTAGCCTCAAACTCACCGAGATCTTCCTGCCTCTGCCTCTCAAGTGCTGGGACTAAAGGTGTGCACCACCAGGTAAAGATTCTCTTGTGTTGGGGACTGAACTCAGTACATTGTGAGCATTTGAAACAAGTGCTCTATCACTCAACGACATCCCCAGCCCACGAATTCTGACAATATTTAATGATGTTTATGTGCCAGAGTATCCTGAGAGTGAGCCACTTGGGGATATGAAAATAAATGGTCTTTGGACTCTTACCCTTGGTCCTTGCCTCCATGCCTTTTCTAAAGGAATGAAAAGGAATGAGGACCCCTCCCCCCAGTGAATGTAACTGTGGGCAGTGCTGCAGAGGAGAAAGAACAGACACTGCATGTGTGGGTAACACGCGGACCACAGGAGGGAGAGTCAGAGTGGAGCTCTGCGCACACTGACAGCGAGGTGTAAGGTGCACAGCCTGCGGCTGCTCCATGCTGGGGGCTTACTGGCTTCCTCGTAAGTGAACTCACAGGTGTGGGTGAGTGGGAAGAGGCCAGAGATGGTGGTGGCCTGAGAACCTTCCAAATCTGAACATCAGCTAGGAGGCACCACTGGAAAGGAAACCAAAATGGAGAAAGAGAAGGAACCAAGGACAGCGGAGGCTTTAAAGAAGCAGCAGAGTTCGACTGCGCTAAGGTTGAAACCTCTTTCCAGGTCGTCTTTTCCGTCTGCGAACTGGGGTAACAGCAGCACTCTACAGAGCGGTCACTGGATAAGATGAGCAAGTCACAGAGTGTAGCAGTTCCTCAATGCTGTCTGTGTCACATGGAGTGGTGACCTCAGCAAAGAGTGCTCTAACGGAGTGATGAGTATCATAGGAACTGGTAAGAAATTCAAGTGAAGAAAAATAGAAGTAAGACTCTGTCTCTCTCTGTCTCTGTCTCTGTCTCTCTGTGTAGTAAGAAAAACAGAAGGTCAGCTGGAGATGGCTCAATGAACACGCTGGTGCGAGGAGGATTTGCGTTCACTGAGTTCCTGGTCCCAAAAGGAAACAGAAGAGCATCGATTCCTGAGAGCTGTCCTCTGACCTCTAATGTGCTGTGGTGTGTGCCATTACTTTAAAAAAAAAAAAAAAAAAAAGTGCAGTTTTATAGAGATGGGAGACACTCCGCCCTTTCTGTGTGCTGACTGTACTTACTAATGAGGAGGGAACGGTTCTGTGTCCTCGGATCTTTAGCAGGGTGTGGTGGTGCACACCTGAAATCCCAGCATTCACTTCAGATGTGGAAGTTTGAGGACCAGGAGTCCAAGACCATCCTTGGCTAAAAATGAAGTCTGACCTGCAGGAGATGCTCCCGATGCCATGCCTCCACTCTTATTTTTAAAGACACACAATAAAACCTCATGTTAAGACACTAGGGTTCACAGGCAGTCTATCTTTAGAAATTATCATTACATTTATTTATTTACTTTTGTGTGTATGTGCGTACACAGGTATGTGAGACTCTCAGGGTTCAATTTTTTCCCCCTCTATTATGTGGGTTCTGGGGATCAACTCTGGTTATTGCTTATCAGCAGCCAATGCCTTTACCTGCTGAGCCATTTGGCCAGCCCTGCAGCTAGTTTCTGAGCAGTGGCTATTATAGATATTTCAAGTACTTATGGGTGTATTTAAAACAAACAAAATTTAGTTGGAAGTTGACAAGGCTTATATGACTCCAACCTTAAGTAAATCAAAACCTGATTGCATATTAGCCAATCAGAAACTGCCAACTAATGTCTAACTGGGACTTTCTACTTTAACCAATCAAAAAACAATTTTTGTTGCTGCTTTTGGAAACGCCTTATTTAAACCAGATGTAGTGACTAATGCCTGTGATCCCGGCACTTGGGAAGTAGGCAGGAAGACCAGAAATTTAAGTCAAATTAGTTACCTAGAGAGTTCAATGCCAGCTTGGGTTAGAAAGTTGTCTCGAAAATAGTTGTTTGTTTTTGAGAGAGTCTGTATACCCTGGCTGCCCTGGCACTCCTCCTGTAGAACCCCGTCTACTTGAACTGTCATCAGTGGGGCTCTCAGATCAAATGAGAACAGACCTAAGTCTACCCTTTGATAAGTAAGATATCCATTTTTAAAATATCAAATGCTCCAAGAAAGAAAAAAAGGTAAAATAGACCAGAACCAAAACAATAACAACAACAAACCCGGGGGAATACTTAAGTCAGAATAACCAGTACAGAGTATAGTCTTCCAGTTTTTGCATATGTTTGAAAATTTCAATAATATAGTATTTTGGTTTTGCTTTAAAATCGTGGCTGAGAAGCCGACTTGGTGAGTAAAGGTGTCTGCAGCCAAGCCTGACACCATGACTTCAATCCCTCAGGCCCCAAGGTGGAAGGGAGAGACCTACTCCTACATCTGACTGCCCACATCCGTAGACTCACATAATACAATTAAAAAGAAAAAGTCTAATTTTGTTATTGCTAGTTCTCTCTCCTTTCTGGTTGGGGACTGAACCCAGGACACTGAACATGCCAGACAAGCGCTCTACTAACGCAGCCACACTCCCCTGCTCTGGCAAAACCCAAGGCAAAGTCTTTGATTATAATTAAAAGTATGAGGGCTGGCAAGACAGCTCAGCTGGTCAAGTGATGGTGGGACTCAAACTCAGGACCCTTCAAAGAACGGTGGTCTGTGCCAATTCACCTCTCCAATCCTGGTTGTTCTCCCTGGCCCCATCCCGTATGGACACAAACTAGAATTGTTTCCAATTCTACTCCAGCTGATGAATGGATGGCTCAGCACTTTAGAGTATTTGATACACTTTCAGAGAATCGGGATGGGGTTCCTAGTACCCAAAGGGTGGAGGCAGGTCCAGGGGATCCGTTATCTTCTGACCTCTGTAGGCACCAGGCACACATGTGGTGCACATACATACCAGCAGACAAAACACTTACATAAAAATAATAAAATCATAAAAATTCTGCTAGAGCTAAACTCTTTTGTATTAAAGACTCTTGAGCATTGTACTCAGGATGCATTGTGAGACAACGTACATGTGCAAAATTTCTAAGAGCCGAGCAGAGCAGGGAACCAACACGCCTCGGCGATATGAGCGACCTTAGCACACTGCCTCTACAGACAGACAGAACACCATTCTGCACTCACCCAGGAACGGATTCAAACCCCTGTCTCTTCAAGCTCTACCAAGGCCACCGTGTTTGAAAACCGCTATTCTAGCATGATTTCCATTTGCACTTCATTTCTGATTTGGTTACAGTTTACAGTTTGGTTAAAAATGAGGTCAGGCAGCTGCCTGTATGATCTCTGTAGAAGGTATGTGAAAAGCAGTTTCCAATTGTCTGTTCTCTTCGCTGACTAGAGAGATAACAGAGAGCTCTCTCTCCCCAGGGCTTGCTTTCTGATGGTGGTTTGTGGTGATGACTTGGCTTTTGTGTTCTTGCTTTTGTGAAGCAGAATGTTATTATTTAAAAGGTAATAACGACTCAGGCAGGCAGCCCCAAAGAAGGGGGAAAGGTAGGTAGCTCTGTCAAGAAAATGGGTGGGTGCTGGGGGAATTCTAGGACATTCTGCCCAGCAACCTTACTGCACAGCCTCTTCCTGCCCTCCATCCCCACCTCTGTCAGAGCAGAGCACTCCTGGAAATGTGCTGTGCCTCGGGCCCTTTAGTGGGTCTGTTCCCAAGGACTTTGATGCACATTAAAGACAGAACTATGCTGTTTTCTGAAATAAACAAATTCTTATGAAATACAACAAGAAACTAAATACATACATTTGAAACATGCCAAAATCAGGTCAGCCCACTGTACAAGATGGGAAAACCTGGCCACTGATTTCTTGTCAGGTGCTGAGCTGAAACATTTGAGGGTCAGTATAAAGAGCATGGATTCTCTAACCATATCCCACCAGGCCTTTACTTTAATACACAAAGCCAAGAAGTCCTCTAATATCCAAGATGTTGCTGTGTGTGTCCTAAGAACACCGGAATCATGTTGGACTTTAAAACTCGGGCAGTTAGAATCTACTTCAAGCTGCTTTACCGGTGAGAGTAAGTAACACTAGAAAGTCCTGCCAAGCCAAGGCCCAGAGAGCACTAGTGAATACTGTGTCCCACGCATCGGTCTTGCAGCAGG